AAAAAAAAAAAAGAAAAGCTTTATTATTATTTTAACTTTAAAAGAAATCACAAAGTATCTTAGTGTTCCTGCAATGTCTGGCCCTTTATATAGCACTGTGGTTTTCAGCATCGTTCAATCAGTAGAACTCACTCTTTTAATGGAAAAGGCTTTATACTTTTTGCAGCAGATTTTCTTTGAGCTGAGTGGAAATGTTGAACATGGTTATTAAAATAGCTTTAGCCACCGAGTTCACCTTTTCATCCTCCAAGTTGGCGATCTTCTTCTTTCTTTTTTTTTAAGCTATTGTGGCTATCGTATATGTATCACGTTTTGCAGTTTCATTTATACCAGCGGCATCTTTAAAGAGTTCTTTTTTTTTCCCCCCCAAGTTTTAACCCTTTATGTAATTGTCCTGAGGCTTTTTTGAAAAGGGAAAATTCTTAATCCGCGTAGCACAAAAGGAATAATGTGCAAGGAATTCAATGAATCGTGATGTCATCCTAATGGAACACAAAGGAGATTGTTCTTGTTTTGCTTTGTTATTGCTGTTTCGCACATTACCCTTTCTAAGGAAATGTCGTGTCTAATTACAAATGCATAATTCTGAGACTTTAAACTTCTCTATTTCCTGTTCCGCGAGTGCTGCCAGAAATGGATGCAATGTACACAATACTATTAAGGGGGAGGGAGAAGGGAGCTAACCAACTGGAAGAAGCTAAATTTCCTTAGATTTCTAAACTCTTCTGGATTATGTCTTTTTCATTAAATATTTTATGCCGATTAATCAAATTATTTGTGTTCTCTAAATGCACAAGACCGTTTTGCTGAGTGAAAATGGGAAAATGGAAATAAGGAGCTCACCTGGGTAATTCTGTAACCCAGCAAAAATGCTTCTGTTTGTCACTGGTGGCTAAAAGTATGCTTTTGCCTGGATATTTTTGTACTTCGGTACACATGCGTGCACACATACTCCCACACCACTCTTGCCTAAATTTATTACTGCCTTCAGCCAAGACAAATTGACGTGGCTGAGATTGCAGATTAGAGCTGACGTTCTGCTTTCTGTTGGGTTGCTGTTTCACCTGCTGTACAGGGAGGGCAACAGTTGTTCTTACCGGAGCCTTCCCCCGTTTCCTATGTGAACTGAAGCCAAATCCTCCTGCAGTTCAGGGAGAGAATTTTGTGCTGCAGTGAGACAGAGGTCATATCCCAGCTGATTTTATCAGTATGTAGGGCACAGCGTTTGGGAGAGCACTGGGCATCACGTATGTGTCTTAGCAGAACGGCTTTCAGCATTTGGCCTAGAATAAACCACACAGGGCCAAGAAACTTGCATTAAAGCAAACATCTCTACGGTTAACTTCAACTTGAAGTG